TTCTTCGACAACCTGGACCTTAATGCATAGAGAGCCCTTTAATTTCTGACTAGCGTCAAGAGAAAGGGCACAAATTCTGCCTACTAGGCTGCAATGGAGAACCAAACAAGCTTAGGAGATAGGTCGAGAGAGGAATCATCCAGTGTTCCACCAAAGAGAGCACGTGGAGTCAGGTAAAACTTACCAACCTGTGTTCAGAAACAGAGTGTGAAACAAAATGGAGCAAGGTCAGACAATGGGGAAGACTGGGGTCAGGAGGAAGAGAGCAAACGACGACCAAAATGCAGGCTGTCTGGAGGGAGGAGAAGGCTCCACTGGAGAGGCACACCCATTGGGGGTGGGGGGGATTGGCCATTTTAAACTGTCCCTTTCCATCTGATCTTGGTTTAGAACTTAGCCTTTTGAACTAAAGCAAAATGGAGTCCTAAGGTATATTAACACTACTTTGAAATATTAACTGCTATTCTTTTTCATAAGGCCTCTTTTTTTTTTTTTTTTGGTGAGGCACATTGGTTCTGAGCTAACATCTGTTGCCAATCCTCCTCTTTTTGCTGAGGAAGATTGGCCCTGAGCTAACATCTCTGCCCATCTTCCTCTATTTTGTATGTGGGACGCTGCCACACAGGGCTTCACAAGTGGTGCGTAGGTCCACGCCCGGGATTCGAACCTGCAAACCCCGGGGCCACTGAAGCAGAGAGCATGAACTTAACCACTACACCACTGGGCTGGCCCCCATAAGGCCTCTTTTTGATTCTCTTTCTCTTTATGTGGGATGTGGGATGTTACTGCTGAAGAAAAGACGTGTTAAATATCTAGGAAGCTTCCCGTTGTGTTCTTTGAAAATGTAATGATATCAATTACCACTTAGTGACTGCTGTGCATTCTTTACGTATCTTAACCCATTTGATCCTCATGAAAACATTATTATTCTCCCTATTTTAGGAATAAGGAAACTAAGTCCCAGAGTTGTTACGTCTCTGTCCCCAGATTGGATAGCTATTAAGTGGTCGAGCCAGGCTGTCTTGCTCCAAATTCTGTGCTCTTAAATGCTTCGCTATGCAGCCTTTCTTCTGGGAGGAGTTCTAAGAATCCCAATATCATTAAGATTTATGTTCAAAATTTGGATAAGAGGGAGCCCAGAAGCGCTCTTAGGAAGACCTCAAACCCCTCCCCTCTCCATCTCACTCACTGCCTGTCTGTGTTCAGACCTCTTTTTTCTCTCTATTGGTGCAGTTTTCACTTCTGCAGTCCACTGGCTATGGGGCTGGTGTCATCTTGCTCCTCTTTCTTGTCTACAGGCCTTGCTGTCTCCCTTTCCCTAAAAAATTCCCCAGTTCTAAATCTCGTGTTTTCACACTGTGGTAATCTTCCACCTCTCCTTGTAGCCATAATTTACCAATGCCAAGGTCCTTCCCCTTTCCCTGAAGCTGCGAGCATTTGGCTCACCATCGCTTTCCCCAACACCCTTCCTATCTTGGTGAAATCAATGTAAACATTGGTGATTCTTCCTAAAACCTAGCCTCTGCTTCCTTTCCTACCCTTCACCACTCATCTTGAATTCCATCCTGCCTCAGCCATAACCATTCCCTCTGTCATATCCCAGGCTTTCTCATTATCATTAATTGCACATCCATAATGTCAGTTTCAGGTACTTCACACTCTGACTACTGCCTCCCGTCTTTCTAGTTCGTTCCCTCGGGTACTCAACTTTAACTGGGATCCAAAATACACTGGTTCCACCAAATTTTCCTTGCCCCTCATCCACCTTGTTCTTCATTTTTCTCCTTATCCAGCTTTTATCCTTGGCCCATCATTGGAATCTATCCCTCTCTTATCCTTTGTTTTACTCTCCTGGTAAAACTCTACCCTATTTATTTATTTATTTATTTATTTTTAATTTTTTGTTTATTGCAGTAACATTGGTTTATAACATTGTATAAATTTCAGGTTACATCATTATACTTGTATTTCTGGATAGATTACATCATGTTCACCACCCAAATACTAACTACAACCCATCACCACACACTTGTGCTGAATTATCCTTTTCACCCTCCACCCTCCCCCCTTCCCCTCTGGTAACCACCAATCCAATCTCTGTCTCTATGTGTTTGTTTATTGTTGTCATTATCTACTACTTAATGAAGGAGATCATATGGTATTTGACCTTCTCCCTCTGACTTATTTCACTTTGCATAATACCCTCAATGTCCATCCATGTTGTCACAAATGGCTGGATTTCATCGTTTCTTTTGGCTGAGTAGTATTCCATTGTGTATATATACCACAGCTTCTTTATCCATTCGTCCCTTGATGGGCACTTAGGTTGCTTCCAAGTCTTGGCTATTGTGAATAACGCTGCAATGAACACAGGGGTGCATGTATCTTTATGCATTGATGTTTTCAAGTTCTTTGGATAAATACCCAGCAGTGGAATGGCTGGATCATATGGTAGTTCTATCCTTAATGGGCAAAAGACCTGAGCAGACATTTCTGTACCCTATTTAAATTCAACTCTTTGCCTCTTCTGCGGCTGAAGCAGCACAGGCTGGAGAAGAACACAGGCCATGCTGGCCGCTGTCACTGTGAACTCACGCCCGCCAAAACCCAGGAGGCCGTTGGTACTGCCCAAAACACTACTGCATTTGCCACTCTATTCGGATGTCCGCTCTCCTCAGTGATGATTTCATGCCTGTTCCTCTCTCCTCAAGCCTCAAACACTTCTCTCCTGTCTTTATTCTCAACTGAGGACCCTTTCAGGAGTGTAAAATGTCATAGTCATTCTGGAAAACAGTGCGGGAGTTTCATATAAAACTAAACATGCAACCACCATATGGCCCAGAAATGGCACTCTTGGGCATTTATCCCAGAGAAATGGAAACTTATGTTCACACAAAAACAGGTACATGAATGTTCATAGCAGCCCTATCATAATAGCCAAAAAGCTTAAAAGAATCCAGGTGTCCTTCAATGTGTGAATGGTTAGATAAACTGAAGTATATCCATACCATGGAATACTACACAGCACAGAAAAGGAATGGACTATTGATACACACAACAACATGAATGAATATCCTGGGAATTAAACTGCATGAAAAAAGCCAGTCTTAAAAGGTTACATACTGTAGGACTCCATTTATATAACATTCTTGAAATGACAAAATTATAGGAATGGAGAACAAGCTAGTGGTTGCCAGGGACTAGGAATGGGGGAAGGAGGGGTATAGAGGAACATTGTTAGTGGTTAGAAAAGGGCAGCCTTGTGGTGCTTGAACTGGTCTGTATCTTGACTGTGGTGGTGAATGCATGGTACACAAATCTACACAAATACTAAAATTGTCTAGAACTAAACACACACACACAGGCATACACACACAAATGAGTATAATTAAAATGGGAAATCTGAATGAGATTGGAGAATTGTATCCTTGTCAATATCCTAGTTGTGATGTTGTACTATAGTTTTATAAGATGTTACCATTGGGGGAAACTGTATAAAGGGTGCACAGAATCTCTCTGTATTATTCCTTACAACTGCATATAAAGCTATAATTATTTCAAAGCATCAAAAAAATTTCAATTATAAATAATCTGTCAGAAAATACCTTGAGATTTTTGACGGTCCTTCTCCCCAGCAATCTTTCAACAAAGGGCATTAGCATCCATTGATGATCTTTGCCTGAACAGTTACTGTGTTGGTGGTTGCAAAATGGTGATTTTTTGATTCTATCATTCCTTCTAAATTTATTAACTAGCATTATCCTGGGGGAAAAAAAAAAAAGCCTTTTTTCCACCCTGATTTACCCTGATCTTCTCTATCAGAACCCTAACTTTGAGGTGAACAGTGAGGTGGAGCTGTTGATCTTTGCCCACTGATGACGTACAATGTCATTTTGCCATTTCCTACCTCCTGTTAGGCAGTGTTGAACCTGGTACTTCCATTAAGACAGCTTGAGATGTTCTGCTCTGTGCCGTGAAACTCATCTGGTTGTTTTTTTACCAAGCGTCCTCTGCATATGGCCTGGTGGGGGTGGGGACAATGCATGTAACCTCCTCTCTTGCTCCTTTGCCTTTTCCTCTGGGCCTTCCTTCTGAGTACCTTTAGAAAGGATTCTCTCTCCTTCCTGCCTGGGAGAGACTTCCTCTATATCATGTCTTTTTCTTTCCTAAGGTGACATTTGCCATTTCCTTCCTTTGGGCAATAAGAGGGAAAGAAATGGGATTATAGAGAAGACCTTGGGGACAATTTTTAAAACTGTATGTGGTTGCCACTTGGACTTGTAAGTTGTCCAGTCAGACACTGTCTTGAGAAGTTGGGGGAGAGAACCATGAAGGACCGAGCATTTACCCAAAGGACCCTGGCTTTATCACAAAGAAGTGCTTCCAAATGTACAAAGACTCTTTTAGACTGGAAGAAACTGAGAGACATTTGATTGCCAATTCTGGTTCCATCTTTCCTTCTACCCCATCCTACCTCAGAGCTAGGCAGCGTGATAGGACTAGTGAGGAAATTTATTTCGATTATAGAAATTAAAGTTTCCATTTTTAAAAAATTTTGTTATAGTATGTTAAAATAGTTATCCCATTATATGTGTTGGCTTGCATTTGTTTTGTAAATCAGGGAATTTCATATAATAATCTGAACTTTCTACCTCCTCTTAAAAATATTAGAATATCCATTCACAGTGGGCTTTAATTCCCACCTGGCCACAATTGGTAGGAGCTGATTAGCATCTCCCTGCTTAGAGGGGGCAGGAGTTTCAGTTTGCCATATTTCTTACCTGTACCCACTTGGGAAATTGTTAATGAGGTACCAAAGGATGTCTAAGCGAGAAGATAGTCTGTATATCCATGATCCTTAGGGAAAATTTTACTAATTTGTCCATAAATTTGCATAGCAAAATAATTGAATGAAAATTTGCTTGTAGATTTTCTTTACTTACTACAGCTAGTTGATAATGTCATCATCATTGAAAATTAACATTTAAATATTTCTTCAGCTTGAAGGTGGAGCCCAAGACTAAAGGATTAAAACAGCAGCAACAGCAACATAAGAAACTTCTGGCAGCAATGCTTTCTCAAGATTCTTTTGAGTCTGTCCACAGCCCTACCCCATCTGTAACAGAAGAAGATATTGATAATGAAGATGATGCAATGGAATTGCTGGGTAATTTTAAAAATTAATAATTTCTCTTTTTCTTCTTCTCTGGCATTGTAAAAATGTGCAGTGATTAAGAGATTTTAAAATTTTTAAATGGTTTTGTCTTAGGGGAAAGAAACCATTTACCACATACATTTATTTACATTAGACTTTCATGAAGTTGCATGTAAGAACTAAAGTTGAAATCACCTAAGCGTGTGAAGTATTTATTAGACTGTATTTTGTGCTTCGTATATGCAGCACTTTACCTTCTGACTATTTAATCAAGCTTTATTCTGTGTGCATTGTGATATAAATTCAAGTCTGTCTGCTTTATTTTCTGATTATGATTGCCTTGATCACATTTTTTGTCTATAAAATGTATCCAAAGTACATATTTCAGCCCTCATTCCAAGATGTCGCTCTGTTGTTCCAAGGATGTTTTAGAAAAATAGAGTAAAATTTAAAGGGGCAAATAGTATATTAATGTTTTTTGTCTTCCATAAATGACAGGAAAGTTTGCAGAGATTTCAGTATTTTTATAGGCCCATTACTTTCATGAAAACCTTATGCATGTTTTATATGTAGGAAATGCTTTTATACCTTTTAATGAAGTAAATGTATGTTTTTGTTTCATCAGAAATCTCTGCAGAGTAGTTTTTCTAAATTGAACTTCCCTTTGGAAAACCATTTTTCCAAAAGAAGGAAATGAAATTTTATTTCAGAGACAGTGATCCGCATATAAAACAATGTGTTTTTAATTCAGTGATATCGGTTATTCTATTCTAAATAATTAGAACAATTTTCAAATACTTTGTAACAAAATGCTAGAAAGTGGATAAATAATGTTACTATTTGAAAGTAACATTATTTGAAAGTTACTATTTGAAAGTTACTATTTGAAAGTTACTATTTGAAAGTAAACTTCAAATAAGTTTAACATAAAGAATGAGTCCCATAAATATACAGAGATTTTCTTTAATTCTTTTTTTTTTCCTAAACCAGCTTCCTAGGCTTCAAGTCTTTATGGAGATCATTATAATAAATTATGTAGGTCTCCATGCATAGGCTTACAAAGATGTTATTTAATCAATGATGGCAAGTTCTCTGGTGTTTTCTGATGTTATAATAACTACATTCATTCCAGCATTGAGAAGGCTGTGTCGTGTCATTTTCACTTCATGCTATTCATCTTTTTTTAAGGAATCTTATTTCCCCACCTCCAAATCATTAATGTGGCAGATGTGCCAGATGTGGTGGTGGGACCTTCGTTCAATTTCCATTCAACAAACATCTACTGAGCATTTACTATGTGCTAAGCACTGGGCTTGGTCTTGGGGACAGGAAAATAAAATAATCATGGTTTCTGTTTGCAGGAACTTTACATTCTAGTGTTCAAGATAAAAATGTAAATACATCACTCTAATAGTTTCTGCTATAGATGCTAATTTGATTAAGCACACAGATGTTTATATGGATAACACCTAATGCAGAAGTAGGGGGCGGTGATCAGGGAATGTGTCCTAGAGAAACTGACTCCTCTGGTGAGTCCAGAGGACAAGTAGATGTAAGTTCAGCAGATAGAGTATGGTCATTACCCCTGTAGGTTTGCTCTCGTAAGAATGGACTCTTTTGCAATTGTGCTTCATGACTGTGCCTATCAATTGTTCCACCCTGCTTTGGTCAGTAACAGTGAAGAGGGCACATCTTGAACAATGGAAGGGGCAAGATGTTGCCCATATAACATCAATGTTGGCATTTTGGTACATTGACATCGGCTTGTGTCAATATCTTTTTCTCTCTCTCCTTTCCTTTAAATGACAGCTCATGGTCAGCCGATATCACGTGAAGGCAGTTATACTCTTATCTTGCAAAGAGAATCTTTTGAAGAAATCCAGGCATGCTCAGAATCACTTTGGGGTTCCTGTTAGCCTCAGAAATATCTAGTCAGAGTGGAGGAAATCATATAACTTCAGTGATATCAAGGGATTCTTTAAGGACAGGCAGGTGTCCACTCAGTGCTGGTACCCAGTAGGTCTCAGCTCCTCTGTTCTGGAGTTTCTAGTCTCCCAAGCTGAAGATCAGAGGATTGGGTTTTGGAGATTACCTAATGTGAGCAGTTAATAGCTGGTCCTTATTTATTTATTTTTTTTCATTTAGACATTTTAGCCTGTGGTCTGAGCAAATTTAAGAATGATACATAGTTGCAGTTTGGACTTTCTCCCTGTAACTCCATGTATCTCAGCACAGGCAACTGGAGGTGTACTAATGCTGGGTCTCATCTAGCTAATGGCTCATCTCTGATATGAGATCAAACAGATGTACATGAATAATTTCAGTTACTACAAATGTTAAGAATCTTTTCAGCTATAATATGGTAATAAATGAATATGTGAATTATGGGTATAAAATAAAATGGTTGTTAAGATATTCAATTTTAAGACCTGATGTCTTCAGTAGACATGTATATCTCTATCAATATTCTTTTATTCCATTAGATTTCAAGTCCTACACCAATTGATGCAATACTCCTAAATTGATTTAGAAACTGTATGATATCTACCATCCTGGTTCTTTTAATATTAGATTTACATCATTTTGTTTATTATTAAAGAATCTTAAGACAATATTTCTGAAACTGTGATTCCAGAGAAACATATGTGATTGTACATATTTGAGGAAAATACAGATGCTAAGTTCTTGAAAATTTATTTGGCATCAAATTTTAGTACATAGAATCATTGTAAAATGCAACAGAGACATCTGGTGTTTAAAATATCTTTTTGAATCTACAACCTTGTATGGAATGAGTTTGCTGTACCTTCTATGTGTTAAGGGTTTGACTTATTGTTATCTATACCAGGTATAACTGGCTGAAAAATTTACTTATTATGCGTGGGAAGCAGTCTGTACATTTTGTGAAGTGATAAACAAGTAAAAAGTATAATTATTAGTTAATGTTAATGTATAATAAAAGATTATTCCTTGGTAAAATTGGTTGATTTGACGAGACAAAAAGAGCCTTTTAATTGAACTAGTAGAAGTTAGTAAAACTATTGACCCTTGTTTTGTTTGTTAAGGAATCTAGCACTGTTAACCCATACTAGTATTTAATTAACATTAATTCTTTTAAGTTGTTTAATTGTATTTTTGTGGATTTCTTTTCTCAGTATATTGGGCATGTGAAAATATTACAGTATGACATTTCTGATTTTTTAAGTAGATTAAATATTTTCTGTAAGGTTGCTGTAAATACTACTTATAAATTCATAGTACAAAAGTAGCTTATTATGAAATTAATATATACCAGAGAATAAAATATCCAGATTTGTGCAATTTTAAGATATAACAATTTTAAGCACCTTTGAAATTGGTGTTCTAATTATAGAAGGTATTGAATAAAATATCTGCCAAGTCACCTCAAACTAACTAGTGCTTAACTTCAAATATAAGATATTTGCAAATATTTTAGTAATTATATTGGAAATTAATGATCACAATGAATAAAACATTATAAAGGATCTTCACATATTTTTTAAAGTTATTAAAATCAATAGTTTTTCAAAAGTGGAAAGACAAATTATAATAGTTAAAAGAGATTTATGAAAATCCCTATATATTAACTTTCATGGAAAGTTTGAGGAGCTTCGTTAGTTTAAAAGATATTTCAGCTTGTAAATATGAGCCCATTTTCATTACATTACATTCATTTTTCATCTTATTCTTGATGAAATGCTAATTGCAATTGTGTGTTTGATTATTGTCTATATAATTTTTACTCATTTAAAAATATCAGCTTTATTTGAAAGACACAACTACTTTTCTTACACATCTTAGTATGGAATATAACTATAAAAAGTTTTTTTAGGCTTTCTCAAAATTGATGGTGAGGCAAATATCTAAAAATCACGTTCCAGAGATGCTAAAAAAGAAAAACAGCATTAGTCATGCTTTATACTTTCTGGTCTTAGCTCATAATCATATAAAAGATTAAAACTGAAGTTACATTTCCAAAAACAAAAAAGGTGATTACAAATATACTTTATTTTAAATTTAATAATTAAGAACAAGTATTGGGCCGGCCCCGTGGCTTGGTGGTTAAGTGAGCGCGCTCCACTGCTGGCGGCCCGGGTTCGGATCCCGGGCTCGCACCGACGCGCTGCTTCTCTGGCCATGCTGAGGCCGAGTCCCACATACAGCAGCTAGAAGGATGTGCAGCTATGACATACAACTATCTACTGGGGCTTTGGGGGGAAAAATAAATAAATAAAATCTTTAAAAAAAAAAAAAAAAAAAAAAAAAAAAAGAACAAGTATAATTCTACTGGTATTCTTTACAGAATATAGTCATTGAGTTTCTAAAACCCTCATATCTTACCAAATTTTGTAAAATATACACTTAATTTTCTAGAGGGACTTGTTACACTGAGGTGATCCTTTGAAAAATGCTTTTGCATTGTGACCAACCTTTGTAAAGTAAACATTCACTCTTTCTTCTGTTATTTCTTTTTTAAGGTGGAGGCTTCTTAAAGCAGAAAGTACCCATGTTTGTAAAATAAGAACATGCATTTCACCTAATGAGAAATGGATGCTGTCACTCAATGATGTTAAAAAAAGGCAGAGAGCCTTAAGTGTTAAAAAAAATCTATCCACTTACCTATTTACCTGTATTTTAATGATCTAGTGAAATAGTGTAAAGCATAAGGAAACATACATACAAACTTTATTTCTTTTGAGTATTGATCATTGGGAGTATCAGGATAACAAAATTTGTCACTTTAAAATGAAGATTCTTGGTAGAAAAGATTCTTTTAAAAAGTCTGAGGGCCAGCCTGGTGGCGTAGTGGTTGGGTTCACGCACTCTGCTTCAGCGGCCCAGGGTTTGTGGGTTCGGATCCTGGGCACGGACCCATACACCACTCGTCAAGCCATGCTGTGGCGGCGTCCCAAGTACAAAAAAATAGAGGAAGATTGGCACAGATGTTGGCTCAGGGACAATCTTCCTCACCAAAAAAAAAAAGTCTGAGG